CGATAACGATCACATCGACTTTTCTACGATCACTACATGATATACGTCTACTCTGATAATTCTCTCTACTTTAGGAGCACATCGTAAACACATCTAGCCCCCTTTTCTTCGTTTCGTACCGATCGTTCAATAATCGGAATCAAGATCTCCCGATGAGACGAGAAGAAGCGACGATGATAAGAAACCTGTCGGAAATATCCCGGTAGCGGATATTGCACGCGGACGAATTGAACGATCCCCCGGGACGAAACGTCGAAAGCGGGAAACGATGAAAAAGAGACACTGTGACTAGAGGCCCGTTGTGCGGCCGACGCAGAATGATTCCGGTTGTTTCTCGTTCGATCGAACGAGGGCTCGCATCGGTGGGCCAAAGCTACTGCTAAGTAGTTAGGAGGGACCGTGATATCGGACGTATACGTTCACTTAAATCGTTATCTACACTACTCGTTATCTAAATATCAGCTACTCGAGAAAAGAAGCAAACATATCGAGACTGTGTGTCGACAAGCGAGAACAACAGCGTCTACCATTTCTCTTCAGCGTGCAAACGTCGGGGGGCCCGAGAATCGCTTTCGCCTCCGACTGACGACGTCTTAGCGATGAACTTTGCTACGAGGGATAACGAGATAGATGGGGCAATCCTCGAAGATCTCCGAGTTCGCCGAGACAGGTTTTACTCTCCAGTCTTATCGGAGGTCACTCCGCCATTTCTCACGTTTGTCTGGCGACGAAAGCGACAAATAAAAGGGAACCACGAATCTAACGCGAATCTAACGTACCTGATCTATCGTTCGATATCTACTTGGTTCTCGGGCCCCCCTTTTCCGAACTTGAACGAGTTCTACCACCGAGTCGCGTTTACCTACCAGCGAGTCTCGGGCTACATCTAACGACTAGAATTATCCGCTAAGCTAGACGAAGCGTCACGTTCCTACGTCTAAGCTAAATCATCTACCACATCGATCGAGTTTTGTCTCGAGACTGCTATCTATCAGCTTCTAAACGAATATTTGTACGCCGTGTGTGTGTTTCTTCTTTCTTCCTTCCTTTATTTTTCGTTTAGCGAGTTTCTATTTTCCGCGAGAGTCGCGAATCGGCGAGGAACGGAATCGTCTGTCTCGCAAAAAAAAAAAAAAAGAAAGAAAAATATCGACGAAGGAAAATGTGTTCCTTCCGAGAGACGATCTGAAATCTCGTCGATGAACAGTTCATTCGCCCCCCTCCCCTCCACTCCCCGCCGAATCGCGAGAAACCATTTTAAACCCTGTAACGCGTAATAGCACACGACTAAATGGCACCTATGGAATCCTACCGGGTTCGTTCGCTAACGATAACTACGTTCGATAGATGGAGGGGAGAGAGGAAAGTACGGACGTGAAGAGACTGGTTACATTCAAGTGGATGGGAACGAACGAAAAAGCAGCGAACATATACGAAACTGGACGAAAAAAGGGAGGAAAAAGGTTGGGGAGGGGAGAAGGTTAGCGGATAGCGAAAAAGCGTTAAAAAGGGATGGAAAAATGGAGGGATAGACGGACGGAGAGAGAAAGAGGGAGAAAAAGAGAGAGAGAGAGAGA